TGAAAAATTGGAAGAAGCAACTATTACACCATATGCATGGGTATAAATTTAAGGACATAAGAAACATGAAAAAGCAAGGAAATATACCTCCAAAGGAATTCAATAAGTCTCCAGCAACAGATTCCAAAGAAAAAGAAATTTATGAAATGCCAGAAAAAGGAATTCAAAATGATACTGAAGAAGCTCTATGAGATATAGGAGAACTCAGGTAAGTAATACAAGGAAATCAGAAAAACAATTCAGGACATGAATGAGAAAATTACCAAACAGATACATATCATAAAAAAGAAACAATCAGAAATCCTGGAACTGAAGAAATGAGTGAATGAAATAAAAAAATATATATAAGAGAGGCTGGGAGTGGTGGCTCACGCCTGTAATCCTAGCACTCTGGGAGGCCGAGGCGGGTGGATCGCTCAAGGTCAGGAGTTCGAGACCAGCCTGAGCAAGAGCGAGACTCCGTCTCTACTAAAAATAGAAAGAAATTAATTGGACAACTTAAAAATATATAGAAAAAATTAGCCGGGCATGGTGGCGCATGCCTGTAGTCCCAGCTACTCGGGAGGCTGAGGCAGGAGGATCGCTGGAGCCCAGGAGTTTGAGGTTGCTGTGAGCTAGGATGATGCCACGGCACTCTAGCCTGAGCAACACAGTGAGACACTGTCTCAAAAAAAAAAAAAAAAAAAGATAGACACTGACTGAATGGATCAAAAAAAGAAAACATGATCCAACTATATGATGCTGCCTGCAAGAAATTCACTTCACCTGTAAAGACACATATAGACTGAAAGTAAAGGGAGAGAAAAAGATATTCCATGCAAACAGAAACTAAACCAAGTAGGAATAGCAGCTATACTTAGATAAACCTTAAGTCAAAAACAGAAAAGAAAAAACACAATGAAAGCCATTATATAATAACAAAGAGATCAATTCAGCAAGAGGATATAACAATTCTAAGTATGTATGTACCCAACACTGGAACACTTAGATACATAAAGCAAATAATACTATTCTAAAGGGAAAGTTGAGGCCAAGCATGGTGGCTCAACACCTGTAATCCCAGCGCCTTGGGAGGCCAAGGTGAGTGGATCACGTGAGGCCAGGAGTTTAAGACCAGCCCAAGCAACATAGCAAAATCCCATCTCTACGAAAAAATTTAAGAACTATCCAGGTACGGTGACATACACCTGTAGTCCCAGCTACTTGGGGGCTGAGGCAGAAGGACTGCTTGAGCCCAAACATTGGAGGTTGCAGTGAGCTATGATCATGCCACTGAACTCCAGCCTGGGTGACAGAGCAAGACCTTGTCTCAAAAGAGAAAAAAAAATTAAAGAATTTTTGTTCTATAAAAGATAGATTGGAAAAGAAAAAGAAGTGGGAGTCTGTGTAGAAAACTGTTACATAAGCCCAGAGTGCTTTGAAACCAATTCTTGGGGGCCAACAAGAACACTGAGTGATCCAGGTATCTGGGTGGAGACCTGAGCTGGGAAAAGGAAGATGCTCCTGGAAGGAAACTACATAAGATAACAACATGGAGAAGCAACCCCAGGACAGCAGGAAAGGCCTCACCACAGAGAGGTCTCCCTGGCTGTCAGGCTGCTGCTCACCATGGCCCTCATGAATACACTTCTCTACCTCTGTCTTGTTCAATTTTTTTTTATTTCCCCTCAGCATGTCACTATGGACCCCAGGCACTGTCCCTATGGTTACTTCAGAGTGAGGGACAGATGAAAAACTGCTCACCATGGCTGTCCTGTAAGGATCTCAGAACAGAAGTGAGACAGCTAAAGAGTATTGGAGAAGGACCTGTGAAGAGATTAAGTTTGGGTTCATTTCTGAGCACAATCAAAATGTCAGCCCTTAGGGAAGCAATGTGGCATTGTGCGTTAGGAGCCCTAACAGCTCTGTTTCTACCCTTGAGTCTAGTAATCTCACATCTGGGACTTTATCCTAGTAAAATGAGCCAAAGGAAGAAAAAAAGCTAAATGCATAAAGACGTGGTAGAAAACTAGAAACAATAATTTCAGGGAAATAGTTAATTAAATTACAGTACAATCACTTGATGGAATATTCTGCAGCCATTAAGTATAATTAGGAACCCTATGTAGCAACATGAAGAAAATCTTATCATAAGTGAAAAAGATACAAAATTGCATAACACACTATTTTCAACCGTAAAATTGTACATTTATGTAGAAAATACAAAAACGGTAGAAATTCTGCTTGTGGAAAGAGGATTATGCACAATATTTTCTTGTTTTTCAAACTTTGTGATGGTATTATACTCATTTTTTAACTTATTTTTAATTGACACATAATAATTATGCATGTTTATAGGGTACACAGTGATGTTATAATGCGTGCAGTGTGTAGTGATCTGATCAGTGTGATTGGCATGTCCATCATCTCAAACATTTATCATTTCTTTCTGTTGGAAGCATTCAATATCCTTTCTTCTAGCTATTTGAAAATACATAATATTTTATTGTTAACTACAGTCATCCTATTGTGCTATAAAACACTAGAACTGTTCCTTCAAAAAAAAAAAAAGATAAGCTATGGACTAGGAGAAGATATTCCCAAACTACATATCAGACAAAGTATCTAAAATATATAAAGGATACCCAAAACACAATAGTAAAAAAGGCAAGCAAACAATCCAATTAGAACATGAACAGAAATTTCACTGAAAAAGATTTACAGATGGCACATGAAAAGATGTTCAACATCATTAGCCGTTAGGGAAATCCAAATTCCAAATTAAAACCACAATATAACATTATATGCCTATCAGAATGGCCAAAATAAAAAACAGCAACAATACCAAATGCTGGCAAGGATGCAGAGAAATATAAAATGGTATTTGGTCACTCTGGAAAGCAATTTGTGATTTCTACAAAACTAAAAATGTAATTACCATACAACCCAGCAACCGTACTCCTGGGCATTTATCCCAGGGATAATGAAAATTTATGTTCACCCAAAAACCTGTACAAGAATGTTCATAGCACCTTTATTTGCAATAGCCAAAGAATGGAAACAACTCAAACAGATAAACAGATAAATGTGTCATACACATACTGTGGAATACTCAGCACCTAATGCAACCACCTAAGTGATATATGTAAAAATCTAGAAGAATCTCCTGAAAATTATGTTCAGTACAAAAAAGTTAATTCCAAAAGGTTATATAACATTTGAGTCCATATACATAACATTTTTAGAATGTCAAAATTTAAGCAATGAACAAATTAGTGATTGCCAGAAGTTAAGATCGGGCCCGAGAGCCGGGTGGGGTGGAAGTGGGTACAGTTATAAAAGGGCAACAGGGGGATCCTAGTGGTTTCTTGACTGTGATGGTGGATACACGAACCAATATGTGTGATAAAGTGTATAGAACTGGATACATACACAGAAATGAATACTATTAAAATTGAAGAAATCTGAATAGATTGGTAGATTGTGTCAATGTCAATATCCTGTTTGTAATATCGTGCTGTAATTTTAAAAGATGCTGTTGGGGGGAACTAGGTAAACAGTACCTGGGATCCCTTTGTATTATTTCTTATGACTGCACGAGAATCTACGATTGTATCAGTAAAAATGTTATCGGTACAGATGCACATTCTTGTGGAAGAATCCCTATAACACAATAGTGAGGGCAGTTTTAAAAACACACTAGCAGAAGCATGACTGCCACGGAGCAATCTAAAAGTAGAAAGTCTCATGAAAGTCCCCCTTCCTATTTCTGAGAGGTTTTAATATTGATCACAGAAAAGACATTAACCCAAGACATACCCAAGGTTCCAAAATTTCAGTTTTCCAAAAGGATATATCCAATGCCCAATAAGGATTAACTTGTGCTAAAACTATATCCTAAATTATGTTATTTCTACAAGGCTACTCTAAAGTTGTGACTGGAAAAAAACCCTAATAGATTTAAGCATTTGCAAGAAGCAGAAACACATTCTCATGTTTTATCATTTGTTTAGCCATTTGGACAAATGTTTATGCAACACCTGCTCTGAACAAAGGCCTGGACTAGAGAAGGGTTACTCCAGCACTATCACCTCCCCACTACCCAGTCTACAGCCTGCTTTCAGGCATCTTCCCAAGTAGGAGGGGAGATGAGATAAACATAAAATGAAAGCCAATTTTATTGAGACCATGAGACAGATTCTGATTCAATACAATTAAGCCTAATGTTTTTTGAATTTAACTACAGATGACTATTATGACAAGGCTTATAACAATGTTAGAAATTTTAGTTTTATTTTCATAGTGGTTATCATCATAGTAATTAAGCATCTCAATAAACTATAAAAAAATGCAAATAATGAACAGTGGGTTATATACCTTTTCTACATCACTCCAGAAACAAATCCATGTAAATATAAAAATGCTGGTCTTAAAACAAGCCAAATGAGGACATAAAGAGATTGGCTGTCTCTTTCCAAATCAGTTTTTAGTATATACCCTCTTCAGTGACACATGATCTGTAACATTCCCCAAACAAATACAAAGCACTTTACACTTTGTAAAGCAGCCGTAACGGACGACTGCAAAATTCCATTTTAGGAATCTGTTTTATTATTCCCCTCGAATCAAATGAAGCGTTTCCAAAAAGATACATCCAATGCCAAGTAAGAATTAATTAATTAAGGACTTAAAGAATAGTTAAGCTGACATTTTTAGATTCTCAAGGAGAACAAAGAAGAGTAAGTAAATTGTATAAACTAAGTTAGGACTACGTATCTATTGTATACACTTTACCTTCCAACTGTTAACATGATTCTTTGATGTTTGTCACCAAATATTAACTCAGGACCTGTGATTCTTACATACATAAATCAGACTATTTTCTATTTACTTATTTTCTAGGACTATTTACTCAGCTATAAAATTACTATTAAATGTCTTAATACAAAAACAAGTAGGTCCAATATGTTCTCTCAAAATAACATCTTCCTAGAGCCAAATACAAGTTGAACTTAACTTACCACTTTTTTAAAATCATCTTCTGCTTCGTCGAGTTTTCCTTGTTTGAGTAATAAATGACCTCTCTGTAATCTTGCCTAGGAAAAAAAAAAAGAGGAGTTTCCTGAGTATTACAGATATCTAAATTTTCTTTAAACACAAAGAACAAAACTAAATAAGCTAATAAAGTTATTAATATTTATTTTCCAATGCCTGTTTGACTTGACACTGAGAATAATTCCTGGAACCAATGAATATGTATAATTTTTGTTAAAGTATGCTTTCTTAAAAATACTTTTGGCTGAAAACATATGTTCACATAAAAACTTGTATGTTTACAGCAATAGCCAAAAAGTGAAAACAACCCAAATTCTTATCAATTAATAAATCAATAAATATGATATATTCATACAATGAAATATTATTCAACCATAAAAAGGAATGACGTGTGATATGTGCTACAACATGAATGAACCTTGAAAACATTATGCTCAGTGAAAGAAGTCAGACCCAAAAGGCCATATATTGTATGATTTCATTTATATGCAATATCCAAAACAGGCAAATCCATGATAAGTAGTTGCCAGGGGCTACTGTGGAAATGAGCAGTGACTCTTCCCTTTCAATGTGCATCAGTTTCTCCCCCTTTATCTCTGATATTTCTCTTCTTCTAATGTGCATAATCCCATTTCTTCCAAGAATACCAATTCTGATGACCAATGACTATCAGAAAAAATAAACCACACTGATATTCCATTAACCTTATGTTACTTTTGTAGCACATAAAATTTCCCTAATCCTCTGTTAAATGTACCAATGCACATAAAAAGCAAGATTAAAGTCACTTCAACTAGCTAACAATTATAATAACATTAGAAAGATGAGCCATTTAACCTTTGTGAAATACTGTGCTTAACTGAGTAAATTCAATAAATATTTGACACTCAGAAATTCCATCTAAAAATCACAGTAATATTTCAAATCTTCATCCCTTATCTAATCAGTTACCTCAAATCCTTTTTAGAATATAACAGGAAATAAATAATGGTTACCAAATTAATTTTGAAACTATCTAAGTGGTAAATGGTTCTGTCAGTTCTGCCTCTGAGAGCCCCACCTCCATCCCACTGCGTCAGTCCCTCGTGCCTGTGCACGCCTCTGTCATCATCCTAACAGTGACCGGCCGATCATCAGGATATCCCATTAAATTACAAGTTTCTCCTCTGAAGCTTGTGTGTTGCTTCCAGCGGATGACCCTGCTAATTCAGCATTGCATCCTCACCACAAAACATTGCTCAACTGAGCGATCCCCTTTATTTTCCCAACTACAGCCTTAATTGAAACTGCTGTCAGTCACCTGACAGCCTCTTAATTCAGCCTCTTACTCAACTCACATCTCAGCCTCTCCTCTTGCTCTGCCCTACATCCTCCACACAGATCTGTCTTTCTAAAACACAAAGGTCACATCGCTGCCAGGCTTCTGAAAAATCACCTAATGTATCTACTGTTCCTCTTTCGCACAGACCTTTCATTCTAGGGACTTGAATTTCTCATTCCCCAGGCCACTATGTGACAGTAGCTTTGATATCCTCTAGTTATGCCTAGCATGACAGTCCTCACCTTATGAAATAAATTACCTCTCCCAAATCCCCCTTAAGTTCCCCTTTAAAGAATGTTTGGAGACACTTACTGCAGTGAAATCCATCTTCAATTCAATCACTTTAGTTAAATCAGGAAGTGCAGCTTTTGATTTGCCCATAGCTAAAAAGACAGTAGCTCTCCGATAGTAAGCAATATAGTTATCAGGGTCACCATCTAAAAATTAAAATAATAATTATTAGCCCTCAGTAATTTATTTGACAAAACCAAATTACCTGAACAGTGAGTTTACAATTCTATTAAGAAAAGCAGTAAGAAAAGAATTTCTTCATCAAAAAGGAGTAATGTTGCCTAGCAACATCACTGCAAATAAATCTAGAATAGAATTTAGCAAACTATAGCCCTTGAGCCAAATCCAACGCAGAGACTTCAGTTAAGAATGTTTTTACATTTTAGGCCAGGTGTGACAGCTCATGCCTTTAAGCTCAGCACCTTGGGAGGCCCAGGTGGGAGGACTGCTTGAGGCCAGGAGTTCAAGACCAGCCTGGGCAACATAGTGAGACCTTGTCTCTACAAAAAAGAATAAAATTAGCTGGGCATGGTGGCATGTGCCTGTAGTTCCAGCTACTCAGGAGGCTGAGGTAGGAGGATCGCTTGAGCCTAGGAGTTTGAGGCTACCATGAGCTATGATCATGATCATGCCACTACACTCCAGCCTGGGTGACAGATCAAGATTGTTTCAAAAAAAAAAAAAAGAAAAAGAAAAGAAAAAAAAGTTTTTACATTTTTTAAAAGTCGCCAACAAAGAAAGAAAGAAGGAAAAAAATAAGATTATATGGCCACAAAGCCTAAAATGTTTATCTGGCCCTTTAGAAAAAAAGATTGTGAAAACCTGATCTAGAATATTGACTGTATGCAACTCATAACTTTTATAAGTATACAATTCAGTCTTTGTCTCTGCTGAGACTGTAAGTGAAATGCTTAGTAATGTGGAATAAGCACTCATTTACAAGATTGTAGAAATGTATAGACTTTCAACTAAATTGATACATTAAATGTGCAATCTCACAAACTGCAACTATTTAATAAAATGGCAATGAAGAAATAAAGGTACAAACCACAGGACAGAGGAGGAGAATGGAAATGAGAGTGAGACTAGAGAAAGAGATTAGAAAAGTTAACAACATTTGAAAGGAAAGGAAAGTTAGATTTTTGAGCTAATTCCATTCTGCTCAGCACCTACAAAGTAGAAAAAGGAGTGAATTCAACTAGAAGCATATCAAGTCTTACAAAACAATCTTCTTAAAAAGCAATTTGTAAATATAAGCATATCAAGAATTTTCAAATGAATCCAGCCATTTATCTAAAAAATAGAAAATATTTATGTACTCAGATGTTCATCATTATAAGATTTACAATTAAAACTCCCTAAAAGTTCTACCCCTGAAGGTTTTATCATTTGAAAAACATTACAATAGGAGACTTTATATGGCAGGATAGTAGATAATCATTTAAAATTACGGTTCCGAACAGTTGTTAACGACACTGAAAACTACCTGAAGTACTGCCAGGGGAGGGTGGGGCAGAAGAGATTAGGCTACACAACCAAATATGGAAGAAGATATACAAATAGTAAATAAGTACATGAAAAGATAATAACCGTCACTAATCATTAGGGAAATGCAAATAAAAACCATACTGAGATACCACTGTATACCCATTAGGATGTCTATTATATTAAAAAAAAAAGATCAAATCACAACTTGGTAAAAGAAAAAAAAAGATAGATAAAGAAAATAGCAAGTGTTGGCAAGGATGTCGAGAACTTGGAACTTTTGTGCACTATTGATGGGAATGTAAAATGGTACAGCCACTGTGGAAAACCGTAAGATGACTTCTTGAAAAATTAAATACAGAATTACCACAAGATCCAGCAATTCTACTCCTACATATATACCCCAAAAAAACGAATACGAGGTTCAAACACATATTTGAACACCTGTGTTCATAATAGTATTATTCACAATAGCCCAAAGGTGAAAACAACCTAAATGTCCACTAATGGAAGAATGGATAAACAAAATGAGGTATATACTGTACATACAATAGATTATTATTCAGCCTAGAAAAATAAAATTCTGATACATGTTACAACATGAATGAACCTTGAAAACATTAAGTGAAATAAGCCAAGACACAAAGAGACAAATGTTTTATAATTCCACTTACATGAGATACCTAGAGTAGTCAAATTCAAATAAAATAGTGGTTACCAGGGACGGGTGTAGGGACAGAAATGTGGTTAATAGGCACAGAGTTTCAATTTGGGAAGATGCAAAAGTTCTGGAGATGGATGATGATAATGCTTGCACGACGATGTGAACACACTTAATGCCCCTGAATAGTACACTTAAAAATGGATAAAATGAAATAGAAAAAATTAGCCAGGCGTGGTAGCATGCACCTGCAGTCCCAGCTCCTCAGGAAGCTGACGCAGGAGGATCACATGAGCCCAGGAGTGTGACGTTGCTGTGAGCTATGACCACGCCATGGCACTCACTCTAGCCCGGGGCAAAAAAGTGAGATCCTGTCTCCAAAAAAACAAATAAAAAATGGAAAAAAATGATAAATTGTGTTACATACATTTTACCACAATAAAAAAGTAAAAGAAAAAGAGGGAATCAGAAAAAGGTCATTTTCAAAAAAAAAAAAAATTGGGCATTTTAACAATAAAAAAACTTTTTTTCTTAAATCTAAAAGCAAACAAAAAACGTATGATCCCAGCTAAGCATCACTGAAATTTCTTTCCTGATCAATTTCCCTTGGAAGAAAAGGAAAGTCAGTAGCATCTGAATAGGGTATTTCTTACAAAATATTGTATTTAGCATGAGAAAAGAGAGAAACACAGTAACTATATTTAGAGCATGTTTGATATAGAATATTTTGGGGTTCAGTTTATATTTTATTTGGAAAGTGCAATAAATTAATATTTCATGGGTATGGTCAGAAAACTGGCCATAGGAATGATTTGACACCTAAGGAGTACTTAAACTTAAGTGACTGCACCTGAGAGCGGAGGGCAGTTCACTGCATGTCGACAGTAATTATCTGGGCAAAGAGACTGGGCTTTCTTCTTCATATTCCAAAATGCTTCGCAATGAACATCGACTACTTTTATGTTCATTAATTTAAAAAAAATTAAGTTCTCCATGGCTTATTCATACCAAACAAAGAATAATACTGGAAATAGCATTATTTATGGCAAGAAGTTTACTTAAACACGCCCCCATAATCTTCACATGTCCAAATCCTATTCAATCTTTGAGGCACAGCTCAAATGACTTAAATGAAAGGCAATGGAAACAAACTCCTGATATCTGCAAAAAACAACATCCAATGTAAACTTCAGCCAACACTGAGACCTGCCTAGGACATGCAAGGGACCTACAAAAATCAGCAAAGAAATGGCTCCTATACAGATGTGCCTTACCATGATATTCAAATCATTCTCCCACATAAAATCCGCAATGACATTTTCAAAAACTGGAGTAGCTTATTTTGAATTCTGTATTAAGTTCTCTCAAGTAAAGAAGAATGCTTATTGCTAGCTTTGGGCATTTTATCAAGAAGGCCCCTTCAGTTAAAGTCACAATGGATTTCTAATGGAAAAACCTGACAATTCCAATCCATAAAGAAAAACCTCCAAAGAGGACTACGTATGACACAGCTTTTCTATTAAGTGTCTGATTATACCCACACAAAAAACGTCGACCTACGGTATTTCTGGAGTGTTCACTTTCACCAATTTTACTATTCAGTTTTTAGGTATTTTAAAGATATGAAATGGTCATTGGAACCCCAATTTTTAACACTGAACCTATAAGGAATTTGTGATACTGTGAAATATTTATTTGGTCTTCTTCCAGTTTCCTGACATACAGCTCTGAAAAGGCTTGGAGTCTCCAGAGTCATTAGTTTTTTTGTATACTATTGGGATGCCTGGTGGCTGCGCCCCTAGATAGCTACAGGATGGTGGCTGGCTACCAGAGAACCAACCATGTGATTAAAGGGCTGGAAATTTCAGTCCCACACTCAATCTCCTTGGTGGGGAGAAGGGTTGAAGGCTGAGTTGGTCAAAAATGGCCAAGAATATACTCAATCATTCCTACATAATGAAGCCTCCATAAAAACCCAAAAGGACAGGGTTTGGAAGAGCTCCCAGATAGCCAAAAATGTGGAAGTTCCTGAAGGTTGGTGCATCCAGAGAGGGCATGGAAGCTCCTTGCCCCTTCCCATATGCTTTGCCTTATCCATCTCTTCCATCTGGTTATTCATCTGTATCCTTTGTAACACCCTTATAATAAATCAGTAAACAAAAGTGTTTCCCTGAGTTCTGTAAGCCATTCTAACAAATTAATTGAAACCAAGGAGGGGGCCGTGGGAACCCTCATTTATAGCACATCAGTCAGAAGCACAGGTAAAACAGCCTGGGCTTGTGAATGGCTTCTGAAGTGGGGGCGGGGGGGAGGCAGTCTTGTGGGACTGAGCTCTCAGCCTGTGGGATCTGAGGCTACTTCCAGGTAGATAGTGTCAAAGTTGAATCAAATGAGATGACACCCAGCTGGTGTCTGCTGGAGAATCTGCAGGACTGCTTCACACACATTTTGATGACCAGAAGTCACAGAAGTATCCTGTATTGTGAGAATACAGTAGGAGAAACTGAGTTTACTTTTTCCTATATCCTCAGCATTTGTGTCAGTGAAGTGGGATTAGCTAGAATGGCCTTGACTCACATAAAAATATGGTTTTGAAAGAAAAATGATAAAAGGATAGTGAATAAAAAGGAACCTTTGATTCCTGGGTGGCCATGTGGTCACCCATGGTATGAAGCAGCAGCTGTGCTGTGATTAGTTACAAAAGGTAAAACGTGAGAAAGAAAAGCAGCTTTTTATAGGAGGAATGCAAGCCCCTTTAAATTATCAGGCCCAGAGAGGCACTGAAAGGTGACAGCAGTCAGGTCCTTGAATAACATAGTTTCATTCAACATGATTTCATTATAACAATGAGGGAAAAAAAAAATCCATTCCCAGCCAGGGCCACTGTTTGTGTGGAGTTTGCATGTTCTTCCCATGAAGATGGGTTTTCACCAGGTACTCTGGTTTCCTCCCACATCCCAGAGATGGCAGGTTAACTGGCATATCTAAATGATTCCAGTC